ACTAGGATTAGACATATACCTACACAAACAACTAATAGCATAGGCAATGTTGGGTCTAGTACTCACCATGAGATACATCACGGACCCAATATCATTGGAATAAGACACAGATTTCATTTTAGCAATTTCAGGAGCAGTCTTGGGAGACTGATCCTTACTTAACACAAAGTGGGACTCCATAGGGATAGAAACGGGAGTAGCGGAATGCATGTATATTTACTCAAAATCTTTTCGATGTATGAAATCTGATTGAGTACTAACACACACTTACTCATATCCCTAACAATGTTAATGTCTAGGATACTCTTGGCATCACCTAGGTCTTTCATTGCAAAATTCTCGCCGAGACATTTCTGCACACATTTAATGGCGTCGCCCGAAGGACTAACAATCAACATGTCATCCACATAAAGCAATAAAAATACAGGCATTGAAGAATTATTTTTAAAGTATAGGCAATGGTCGCACTCAGACTTGTGAAATTTCAAAGATGACATGCACTGGTCAAATTTGATATTCCACTGCCTCGGGGACTGCTTCAGGCCGTACAAGGCCTTCCTTAGCAAACACACATGATTACTCTCACTACTAGAAAAATAGCCATTTGTTGCGGTCATTTTTAGCTATTTGTTGCGGTTTTGAACCACAGCAATTGGCGGAGCGGCAAATTGTAGGAAAACGTATTTGTTGCGGTTCAGAACCAAAGGGTGGTTGAGGGAGCCAAAGGGTGGGGTGACAGTAAGGATATATGTGGAAGACATTGTTGGTGGGGCTCACCATTTGGGATTCAGCCGTGGTTCTTGTGGAAGGGGAAGCTGAGTGGGTGGGTGGGGGGAGGGGGCAAAGAGGAGATAAGTGTAGGAGAATCCTAAACAGGAAGATCGAGTGGATGGGGTTATGATTACGGATGATCCAAAAATGTTGAAGGGACGGAGCTGAGAGATCGTCTATGTCCTCTCTAAAAATATATTTGTTTAAGTTCTCTATTTTTGTTGTGGATATTAGTTTATGTTTTTATTGGGTTGTTTTCGTCCATGTAAACTCTTTTTCGTGGTTGTTTTTGTTTTGTGTCAAGGTCAAATTAGGATCAGTGGTAAAGATTAAATCGATAATAGTTGACTTACAATCGTCGATACGACGATTAGCGAGTCATACTGCTTCTGAGTGGATGTTTAACTCTAGTCTAAAATAATTGATACCTTTATCTTTGTAATTTTGTACCCACTATTTACCCAGTTGGTATATCGTGGGAGCGGCTCACGGTGAGCATCCTGCTCCAAGGCATATTCTTTTTTTCAGCAGCAGACTGATGTAACTCGTGTTAAAGGTAATGTAACTCACATTGTTAAGAAATGTAACTTGAGTCATGTTGAAATGTAAATTGTCTAAAACAGAATACAAGAAGTAAAACATTGATTTTAATGTAAATAATGCAAAAAAGGGAGTCTAATTGTCCAATTATTTTACATAAATACTGTATATGTTTTGTTTTTAATATTTGAGCTATAAAAATGATTTTTTAGAAAAATGATTTTTCTTTGAATAACAGAGGCTTATTTTGTTGTGTAACTCGCAATATGTTGTGGTGTAACTCGCATTATGAACAATGTAAATCACGTGTAAGAAGGATGTAATTTGCTGATGAAATTTGACATGTAACTCACGATGTAACTTAAGATAAATAGAAATGTAAATTAGGTTCATGAAAATGTAAGTTGAACCAACTCAAAATGTAAATTGTCTATATATATATATATATATATATATATATATATATATATATATATATATATATATATATATATATATATATATATATATATATATATATATATATATATATATATATATATATATATATATATATATCCTAACCTATCTTATAAAGGACAATTTTTCATATTAAATGCTCTTTCATGCTTTATCATATTGTACACTTTGTCACTGGGGTTGTACTGCTACTATCCAGTTGAGTTATATCACTTATGGTGTTATACTGTTTGTATAACGGTGTTGATTTATACACCTTGAGAAAATTAATACACAATAGCACACTTCTGAACTTTGGCTTCATATATTTAAGATGTTGAAGCTAATAGGTATGCATTTCATGAGTGTGGATTATCTTCCAAAGTCCCTAATTAATATGGCGACTTCTGGAGTTCCCTTTATTTGATTTACATACATTTAAGATGTTAAAATCCTTCTTATATGGCCTTAGAAGACAAGATGATGAGGTTTCCGACTTTTAATATCCATCTTTCATATTGGTTTGGTTTTGGGGGGTAATTTTATCATGTCTCTTAACCTATCTTATCAAGGGCAGTTTTCATATTAAATGCTCTTTCATGCTTTATCATATTGTACGCTTTGTCACTGGGGTTGTACTGCTACTATCCAGTTGAGTTATATCACTTACGGTGTTATACTGTTTGTATAACACTGTTGAGTTATACACCTTGAGCAAATTAATACACAATAGCACACTCCTGAACTTTGGCTTCATACATTTAAGATGTTGAAGCCAATAGGTATGCATTTCATGAGTGTGGATTATCTTCCAAATGTCCCTAATTAATATGGCGACTTCTAGAGTTCCCTTTATTTGATTTACATACATTTAAGATGTTAAAATCCTTCTTATATTGCCTTAGAAGACAAGATGATGAGGTTTCCGACTTTTAATATCCATCTTTCATATTGGTTTGGTTTTGGGGGTAATTTTATCATATCTTTCTATAAGTTGCTAATGATTAAATGCCGGATTCAGGGCCCGTTTGGTAACACCTAAATCTGCTGTATCGGCTGATGCTGCTGAAATTTATGAATTTCTGACTGAAGCGGCTGTATTGGCTATTCAGCTGATTTGTGAAAAAATATATTTTAAATATATTTTAGAAATAAAATAAATGAAAAATTGTATGATAAAATAGCTAAAATGATCATCTACAGTAGTTTCAGCCAATACAGCCATAAAAGTAACTACAACCTTACTTTTTCTTATTATTACACAATTCATTGCGCGAAACCAAAAGTTACGTTTTAATGAAAAAGTTGGCTGATAAGCTTGAAAAACAAAAAATTATGGTTACCAAACGGACTCTCATTCAACTTCATGTAATGTTTGTTGGCAGATGGATTGAACACATCTCATCAATTTGGTACAAATTGCTCACCTGAAAGTAGTTTGTTTTCTTCAATTTGAAAACAAAATAAAAAACATTAGAGGTTTTTTAAATAAAAATCAAACCCACTACAAGTTTGTCTATATGCCCGAATAGAATAGTTCTACATGTGAGATCGCGGACCAAATAATTTAAATTGAATAATTTTGTCAAGAACTATGACTTTGGGAGCGTATGTATATGTCTTATTTAAGAATTTAATCATATTTGGTGTTTGTTACTCCAATTATTTGTAGAGACAGAACTTTCAAGACTTTTTATGTATTTGCTGGTCTATTGTGTATGAATTGTATTATGCTCATTTTAACAGCAAAGACTAAAAATCAATGTGACTCTCCAAAACAAATCATACAAATTCTGCAATTTTAAGCAAAATGTTAAACATGAGCTACAAATAATACCTTCAGTAGTTGCTTATATTCATGATATTCCCTTCTTATTCATAAATAAACTCATACACAATACATACATTTTGTTCTCAAAATAACTGTATATTTAAAAAATCAATAAAATAAAAATTATGTAGAATTTGTGCTCTAGAATTTGCGCGTTGCTTTTAGAATTTGTGCTCTAAAAGCAACGCGCAACACATGATCAATTTGTTCTCAAAATACTAATGCTGAAAATTTTACAAAATTCAAAAAAAAATGTGTTGGGCATATAATATTCACGCAACGCGCGATCAATTTCCTTGTGTGTGTGTGTGTGTGTGTGTGTGTATTCCATATATAAAATTTGCTGGTTTGCTAATCTTTAAATACTCCGTATTAGGGTTTGATCGGGTTCGGTCTGTCCGACCCGGGAATCAGCCCGGCCCGCCACTGTGCGGGATCGGCCCGGCCCGCCATTGTGCTTGACCGGCTCGGCCTGAAGGTGTTTTGAGGGTGGGCTCGGGCTGCAGGTTCTTTGGAACCAGCCCGACCGGTCCGGTCCCGAGCCATTTTTTTTTACTCTGGGGTGGTAGGTGGGTTGGGTTGGGTTGGGCTGGGTGTTTTGGAGGAGTTTGGGGTGTGAGGGGTAGGAATTAATTAGAAAAGCAAAAAAAAACTATCTAGCCCGGCCCGGACCCAGTAGAATCCTGGGCCGGTTCTGGGCCTTAAGCCCCAATAAAAAAGCCCGATTTGGACCGGTCCAGTGCTCGGCCTTGCCCGGAACCGGTCCATGTCTACTCCGTATATATGAATTTGGTGGGATGTGTTCTTTACTTTGGCTGTGCAAGATGAGTAAATAGACAATAGCAGGCTCTGGCGACACAAAGGAGCCGTCATCTAATAGTCGGCTAAACACCCAAGGGCAGGAAAGGTACAGACTGAATGGCCGGAGTGGATCTGCGACGGAGATGGAATTATTTCTACACATGTGATTGTGATTTCACGGGCAAAGAAGGTCCCCAGCAACGTCACTCCAGACGGCAACCACACGATTGAAGCTCGTTTCCTTCTCTCTTTCAGCCGATTCAGCGTAATAAGAAATGTGTGACGTTTCAATGTAAAAGTAAGGAAGAAGAGTTGTTCTCTTTTTTATTAATAAAACTACGTAGTTTTGGGATCGGCACACCATGAATATGGTGGACTGATCCTACAAGATACGCTTGCATGTTGGTTTTGGCAGTCTTGAACAATATACTTACTCCGTTCTTTTTTAATTGCAACAGTCCACGTTTCACGTTTTTCAATGCACAAGTTTGAGCATTAATATTTTTCATTCATTATTAGTAAAAAAAATAAAAAATTCAGATTTTGAAAATTTAAAATGAGAAGAATTTTTTTTTTTAATTTAATTTATATTACATAAATAAATAAAATATAGTCAAAGTAGAATATGTGAACAGTGCAAAATACAATTAAAAGTGAACAGAACTAGTATAAACAAGAATTTGAAATTTGGTGTAGCTGAAGTGGATGGATTAGTACTCCTTCTTTCCTTCCTCAAACTAACTATAATCCTTAACAACCCAATTCGGCAACTATGATTACAGACCTGCTTATATAGAATGTGCTGAATAAATAAAACAAAAAGAGTTGCAATAAAGAAATGGAAAATTACATTAAAGTCATCCCTCAAATGAGACCTACCGCACCAACCAGGGGCCCATCCCTAAAGAAAAATGTACACTAAACTAAATCCACCCCAACTAATAATAATAATAAAACAGCAAAGTTTTTTTTCCTTTTCTTTCTCCCCTAACTCTTCCTGCACCTAATTACTACTCACTCGCCTAAAGCTTTGGTTGATTTTTAATTCATATCGGAATTTCAAAAACTCTGGACGGCCGCGGTTTCCGATTCCTTCTTCCGCCGCATCTCCAGCACTTTCCGGTGATTGTTCGAGTGCAGCTGGCTCGAGAAGGTGGGACTGCACGCCGGCCGGTACTCCGGCAGCAGACGCCCGGACTTGTACCTCACACCACACGCGTTGCACAGAGTCTTCGCTCCCAGCGGCCCCGCCCGCCACTGCGGGGTCTTCTGCACGCCGCAATGGTTGCACCGCCTAGGCTGCTGCTGCAGCTGCAGGTGATGCGCCCCTCCGACGCCGCCGGGCTGCGCCGTCCTCTTCCTCTGTTTCTTCGCAGGCGGCATCCCTACAAGCCACTCGCCGGTCTGGCCCGGGTTCGGGTACGCATAATAAGAGCGTGGCGGCGGCGAAGACGACACGGTGGTGGAGGACGAGGAGATGGAAGACTCGGTTAGCGACTGCGAGCCGCTCAGCCAGACGCGGACGCCGGTGCGGGCACGTTTGCTTCTGGCCTTGGTCTGAACCGGAATCTTAAGGCTAGGCTTCTCTCGAACCCGAACCTCAGTCTTCAAGCGAGGCACCGGCGGCAGCTTCCCGGCTGGGTGAGTCAGCGAGTAGCCGGGGAACGAGTCTTCCGCAAAATGAGACAACCATTCCAGATTATCCAAATTATCCGCCTGAAAAACCACCGCCTCTCTCTGTTAAAATTTAATATTACTCTGGTTGTAACTAAAAAAAACGCCAGTTTCCGAATTCGGAGCAAAATTGACTACTTACCGGAGTTTGTTGCTCGCCGCCGGGAAGACAAGGAAAATCTTCGATGGGAGAAAGGGTCGTAACAGCAGCTATAGCTTCTTCTTCCTCCTCCTCTACTTCTTCTTCTTTCACAGAGACCTGTTCTTCAATTTGGGGCTTAACAAGCGGAGCCGGTTTTTGTTGCTGAATTTCAGGCTCCATTTTGACCCTCTCTTCGTATTCCTCAGAAAATCCATTAGACAAGTCAAGGAGGTCGTCGACGAAGAAATCGTCACCTGAAACGCCGCCTGAGCATTCGGTATCCAGGTAGTGTGAGGTCTTGGAGGCAGACTCCGTCCGGATACAGCTCTTGAACGCGCACTCCATGGACTGCCCAACATTGCCAACAAAGTGAAATTAAAGCGTTAAATTATAAAGAGAGTGTAGAGAAGGGATAAGGTGGGTGTACCTTGAGAGAGGAGGAAGGGGATGGCGGCGGCAGGGAGGAGAAGGTAAAAGGGGGGGGAAACAGAGAGTATGGGTGTTGCGTTCGGTAAAGCATTGAATTGAATGGGGAGAGAGAAAGGGAAAGGGAAGACTCCCGTGCCCGAATATCAAATGCTGTACTTTCTGTGCCGTCTTAAAACGAGTGTTGCCCGCTTTTTCTTCTTCTCGTCTCTTCTTTTGAAATAATTTGAACACCTTTTCCCGTTTTTCTGTAAATGTATACTCCATACTACGCAATTTCACAAGCATTCCGTTTTACTCCATTTATTACTACGCCAGTTTCATCCTATATGGACCGCTCCGAAACCGAGTCCGGTATTATTTGAGTCCGGACTGAGCCTGTTCGGGCCTAGGACCGATCATGTCTGTCCATGTACGGTATCCAGATCTGGTTCAACGACTAGGGGATCGAATCGAGCAGTCTTGGTCCCAGTTCCGGTCCTGACCGGGCAAAAAGAATTGTTTCTCTTTTCTTTTTAGTTGTAGTCTTGAAACCGGGCAAAAAAATATCGGAACAAGGTCTGGAATCGGGACCGGATCAATCGGGTATCTGAAATCGGCCTAGAATCGGTGCTTAGCGGGCCAATCCTAGTCCATGCCTAGTGCCCTAGTCTTAATCGATCGATTGTGTGCGGTGAGTCAATGACATAGTCAGGAGTTCAAATTAGACTAGATACATATAAGAATATAGTCCTAAATAGGAGTAAACTAACCCCTAAATGAATAAATAGGTCTATGATGTTCACCTTCCCAAAATAGAACTAAAATACATTATATCTTACTATTCTACTCTTACCATAACTTAAAAGGAATGTCATATTGTAATTTCTAATACAAATATAAAAAATAAAAATAAAAAAATATTTAATTTATAAAAAATGTAGAAAAAATACAAAAATTCAAAAATATGTTTAAAAATAACAAAATACTAAAAATTAAAAAGTTAATATTTTAAAAACATAAAAACTATAATATTAAATAAATACTTCCTCCGTTCCTTAAAATTTTGTCAAGTTTGACTGGCACGAGAATTAATAAAGTAAAAATTGTGTGGATGAAGTTTGTGCAGAGGAGAGAGAATTGTTTGGAACTACATAAAATGGAGGCATTTCCCGCAGCGTCTGTCACCTCTCAACAACAAAACGGTCAACTCTGAACGATAAAAGAATGTCATTTATCACAAAAAAACTATCATTTTTTGCAAAAAAAAATGTCATTGTTTCTCTGAAAGTGCCATGAAAATGTCACAATTTTCTCTAAAATTGTCATCATGATGGCATTACTGATACATGTTGAATTTTTTTGATGGTCGAAGCTAGTGGTGCTAGGAGGTTTCGGAGGCTGCGGGAAATGCCTCCATTTTTTATACATTTTTTTTTAAGTTTTTTAAATTTATATTTTTTATTTTTCTTATTCTTTATTTTTATTAATTGTATTTACTATTTATTTCGTTTTTGTTTACACTTTTATTATAATTAAAGTTATGTTTATTTATTAATTATTAATGAAATATGAATTGTATTAGAATAAATAAGATTTTACTATTATAGTCATATTCTTACCATTAACGTTTCATTTAATCCTTTTTGGGGAATTTCCTCTTACATACAAACATGTTTTTGGGAAAATTTAACATGAATTTTTTACACTAATACTCAAAACTTATTTTAAAATTTGAGATGAGCCGGGGCCTACCATGACCCCTCCCAAGCTCGGTCCATGATTGTGTTCCCATGTTCCCAACGTAGATCTTGGTAGAATCATCACTAATTGGTCAAAATAACGTTATGTTCCTAATAAAAGTTAACTCTCACACTGTCATTTGAGATCAACTGGAACATTGATTTGTCTGGTTACATGACTACTTGAACTAGCCTCATAGGCTAAGGACCATCGATGACTTGAACTCAAGCTCTCTCACAAGAGAGTCATTAAGCATGGCAAGTGGTCACTTGGATCACTCCCACTTGTAAGCAAATTCAAATGCCTCTTTTTAAAGTTCACATACTTCTACTCCTAGTTAACATACATAAACTAAATAAGAAATAAAAACAAACTCATATCTGAAACAAAAATAAAACTGAAATTGAATAAAGCACATGCATTCAGATTTTATTAGGGAGCTCAACAATAGTTGTAGATCTAAATTGTTCATCAACACTTTCACATACATCTTCGGTCTGCCATATTCCTAACATAGATCCTATCGATCAAGAACAAACCACAGAATTTTTCAGAGAGCAATGAGCCTTTCTTGGTGAGTTCGACAACAACTTTTGTTGCCATTACATGAGGCCTATATAATCTCAAATGAGGATATGATTCGAATATGGAAAAATATCGGGTATAAATATAAACCCTTCATTGAAGTTTTAGAAGATTTAAATAAAGGTTTCCTCATCTTGATTTAAATTGGGTTTCACTGGAAAATTTCATGTCATGTTCCAACTCTAAAAGCCATAAGAGTGATTGATACAAAATTGAAAAAATCCTTTAGTGTTGACTTTCTTGCGGACACACATATTTGTAGCAATTTGCAATCTATTGCACCGGTGGGTGTAGCTCAACTGGTAGCACAAGAGTGCCACAAGGGTTAGGTCACGAATTCGAATCCCGACAACTGCGGTGAGAGGTTATTATGCTAAAATGCATAGGGTTTCTGCAAGTACCGAGGACAGAGCCCCACACTCTCTATCTGTCAGATTGGAATTATAGTTCAATTTACATCCTTTCAACGTATCGTCTGGTCGGGGTTGGGGGCCCTCAGAGATGGGGTGTCATCCTTTTTTTATAAAATTTTTGCATAACGTGTAGTATATTCCTGGTGCTTTAATATTGTATTCAAATATACTAGTTACTCCACCCGTGCGTTGCACGGGAGTGAAGTACATACATAATAGTTTAGATCCAATTTTACAAAAATTAAAAAAAGGGATCCAACTAATTGAAAGCATTAAATAAAATTTTAAATAAGATGCCTTTGTAATAGCAAACTAAGAAATAAATAGTAGACATCAAAATTAAAACATCATGAAATGAAGTAGTTGTACATGTAAGTCCATAAACCGTCAAGAAAATTACGTATAAATTATTATAACATTCCTTGTATCCAACACAAGGCAGGCATATGTGGTCATCAAGTCCATACATCTTCATCACATATCACAAACTTCAGCCCCGGTCCCGGTTGAGTCGTTACTCTCAAAACCTCCACGTACACATGTTCATGTGTAAGAAGAGGACAACATAGGAAGATGTCAACTTATTTGTTCAATTGTCTTTTCCTCTTATTAATGATCATTGCATACCTAATCACTACTCCTTTTCGTCTCCCTAACTTTGTCATGTTTCCCTTTTGTCTATCCCATTAAGTTTCTCACCTCATTTTTTGTATGTTTGAGTGGTTACAATTCATTCTTACTTTATTTGAATCTTATTTATTCAATATCAATCATACAATTTTACTTTCCTAATAAACCGCATCACACCCTTGTTTCCCAAACATAGGGGGATGAATGAGAGTCTAACGTCTCATGGTGCTATAGTGAGTAGGGATAAAGTGTTTTCAATTGGAGTGTAATTTTATGGTCTTCTTTGGTTTGATATACTTAAATCTAGTATGATCTGGTCTGATCTAAAAAATGTTAGACTTTTGCTGAGACGTTAGTATTAGTTTGCCTATCTACTCAGAATGTTATTGTGGTATTAGTTTGTATAATATCAAGTTCATTGATCAATTAAATATCATGGAGCCCAAACTACAAAGATTAAGAAGTCTACCAATCCTTGCAGCTGATTTTATCAAAGCAGTAAAATCTAGGATCTTAAAAAATAAATCAACATAAAAGTTGGGAGAAACTGAGATTCATATGACTATATGAGTATATCAATAGCATAAAAGCAACCTAGCAGCAATTTAATTAGGTTACACCTTAGTGAATTTAAACGTAAGTTCTGATATTTTTGCAGAATAAAAAAAAGCGCTCTAAAGAAATAAACAGATTATATTTAACAAATTAGAATTGGAGAAATAATGAAAAAAGTAGCACACAATTTTTTACTCTCTTATATTAGAAGTAATTGAAAGGCAAAAAAAATCAAAGCTTGTCTTCAACTGGGAGGAATTCCCTTATTCAAGGCCAACAAACGGCACAATCACAACTTTAAAAAATTGTCTTTAGGAGGAAATGTGAATGCAGAAATACGAATAATCAAACAAAAAATAAAATCATGTCATCTAAATGGCGAACTTCAAAGTTTCTCTTTTTTGACCTCCTTCAACTTCTTATTCTTATTTGTAGACCCCAGTGTTTTATCATCTGAGATTTCTTTGCTACCATCTATATCCTCAGTTTTTCTCTTTGAGGATGAAATTGGAGTCTGCCCTTGGTCATGCTCAGGTGATGTTGGTGTCTGAATGAAAACATAATAAATATTGTATAATAATTTATATAGATTTTGGGTTTATATTTGCGTAGGCATAATCAATTGTTGTGAGTATTCAAACTTACCAAGTTGGATTCTACCGTAGTTCGAGGTTCAAGAATTAAGTCAAGATCTGAATCAGAATTATATTCAGCCTGCATTCACCCCGTTGTAAGTTCAACACAATTGTATAGTTCATACTCCCTCCGTAATTAAAAGATCCTTATGTTAGGTTATGGCACAAGATTTAAGGGAGAATAGTAGGACTGATGAATAGTATAGAAAAAGTAGGATATATGGTGAAAAAGTAGGAAAGAGAGGATAAAAAGTGGAAAAAGTAAGGGTAGTTAAGTATTTTTAAAGGAAAAACTTACTAAAAAGGGAAGGTGTATGGAACTTTTAAATACATCCCAAAATGGAAAGTGTATGGAACTTTAAAAAAAATACCGAGGGAGTATTTGTTTGAACTTATGAATCTTATTTTATATCTTCTATTAAAAAAATACTTTATGATATTTAAGACTAACGAATTACCTCTGGCTCTGGTTCATCTTTCCAGGATGACTTAATCTGCTCAATCTTTTCCTTATTGTCTGTTGTCATGCTTATGCAAAACGCAACATCGGATCCATCTAAACTCGCGATGTCTCTCTCAATTTTGAATAAGTACTCCCGCCCAACCAAGTCGTAGAACAATGGAGGAGCACTATGAGGTCTTAACTTGACCTAAACGAAGAGAAACAAATACTTTAAAGCATTTATAGATACATTCATGCACATGGAGTTTTGACATAGGAAATCAAAGCAACAAAACTAATACTTGTTATATACATACATCATCCAGATGTTCACGAAAATCGGACGCAGGTTTTCCCAAAAACTGCTTGCATGCTTGATCCCAGAATAGCAACTCAGCGTTGTGACGACCATGCACAACGTTCAGCTTCAACTTGTAGAGCCAGTTTTCTTCAGAAGACCGCACTTCGTGCACTCAAATTCATTATCACATTTTATGGCTCTTGCACGACATGATCTAAAGTGAACGGGGAAATCAACTTTAGTTTCAAAAAATATATTATTATGAAATCCTAATTATAAAATAAACGGAAGTTGTAATACAAAGCCTTCTGTTTCAATTGTATAAAAAGGATCTAAATAGCTTAGTCGTTTAAAAAAGGCAACAGCCTGTCATGGTGTACAACTAATTAATAAGTATGAATTTACTTATTTGAATTTCGGGGTGGGGGGGGAGTGCAGTTGTACAACATGCCAAACAAAATCTTATTTCTTTATTTAGATATCTAAATATCTAAATAAATGTAATGATTAATTAAGAATCTACTTGTGACTAAATATGACTGTGTTGGAGGCTATCACTAAATATGACCTTTTGAAGCATCCCATATAAGCCCAACTGGTAGCATTTAGAACAGCGTTTATCTTCCCATAAAACCACAACCCACGAACCTGTTCCAAGTGTACATTGTTCACAAATGAAAATGATTTACATACGTATAAGAATGCGAGAATTTGAAATTCAGAAATAAATTGAATGATTATATACCTCCTTAGTAGTTTGTAGTTCAGACAACATCTTGACAATTCCAACTTCTTTATCATCACTTAATGCAGGTCGTGATGATGTTGAGCTCAGGATTGTGATGACCCCATATCCAACATCCTTATTAATTTCAATAAATGTCAATAGATTGAAATAATTGCTAAAAATGTTTTTTTTAAATCTGCTAAATATTGCACACTTATCATGGACATTATCAATATTCACACTTATCATGGTATCTACTCTACAATATTTTGAAACTAATCACCCTATATGCAAGGCTGGATCAACATATGCACTTACAACAATGAAGAGTCTTTTACTTTAGTAATCATGTGTTATTTGTATGATTTGAAGTGGTTGCATCATTTATTCACCATTGATGAGTTGATGACAATACTAAGTTTAAAACTCCATCACCAAATTACCAAGGTTGAAAACAAAGGTAAAGCATGGTTTTAGATTGCCATGTGAGGGTTAAGAAAGATTCACATTAAAAAAGCTTTTTGAAGGTTGCCATGAAGATCGTTATCAATATTACCTGGTTCGAAACTCCTCAATATCAGGGACATTGACGTCAAGGAGAACCTTTGAGGCATTATATGATGTTGAGACCCCCATCTGCTCACCTAAATTCAGTTTTCGTAAAGAAATATAAGTAAAGTATTAATTAAAGTAATAATTCTTTGCGATAAATTCGTAAATGCAAGTGTATGTATATTTGTCCTACCATAGCGTTTGTTGGTGCGTGCCAACTGGATGATCACGATTACATATTCCGACGTTGTCCTTTTTACATGTTCCAGGAATTGTTCGGAATACTCACTGTACAGTGTACAGTGCAACCTCTTATCCCTATGCATGGTAAAATTAGAATATGTAAATTATTTTAATGTTAGTGTATGAGAACATTATATAGTATAACAAAATTTGAAATGATTGTATCACTTAACTCTAAATCATGAAGGTAAAAGTTACACCACTTTTTTTGCGCTCCAGGTTCCGCCTTGAACACCTTATCACCAACCTTGAATGCACCAATTACATCTAGAATTTGTCTCGAGATTACGATTATTATCACACATAATATAGTTACACAAATTACTAAATACATAGTACAAAATAACAGAGTGTTATTTTTGAGATTACCAAACAATTGAAGACAGACATCATCTCCTTCAGCAAAAATTTTTGAGAAGCTTTTACACTTAAAAGGTGATAAGGATGACATGGTACTCTTTTCTTGACGCTTCACCTTGGTTTCCTCGGTGAAACATAGTCTGTAACGGTGGGAGCATGGCCGATATTGTTCAATATTGGACCTTACAGTAAAGTGCATCATTGCATATGTCTCACCCTCTTCTATTTGGGCGTCAAAGATGCGCACCATTTGTTGTGATACAGTAGCTTGAATCCTATCATCCTATTTGAGAAAAAATTGGAGTCAATTAGAAGTTATCGACTATTGTAATGAAATGAATTTTATTTAAGCAAGTGGAAATTATAATTGGAATTACTGGGATGTAAATTTTAATTAAGGCACTTTCTAAAATATCTTAGGTATGAATTTTAAAACAAAGTATTTTTTTATAATTTCACAATGATCACAACTTAAATTAAATATGTGTTAGACAATGTTTTTCTTTAAGGTAGTTTTGTGTACATTTATATTATATTAAGGCATAATCTATTTAGACAGATTTTATTTAAGACATTTTTTTAATTTTTAAGTAATCTCGGTAGTAATTATCAATACGTAGAATTTATTTAAATCATTTATATATTATCTTAGAAGTTTTTCGGGCTGTTTTTAGATCGTCAAACTAAATGTCAAGCAATAAGATAACACATTAATCTCATTTATATGGCTTTCTGAACAAAATGCAACACACTTGCCCATGAGTTTGATGATTTTGAAAAGAATTATAATTACTATTTTTCGAGTATAATTTCTTGATGAAATAAAAGTATGAAGTATTCCAGTATGAAATTATTGACTATTGTAGTGAAATGAAACTAATACTTAAATTGGAGTGAATGATAAAGTTATTTTTTTAATCCTCTCCTTAATTAATCTCGATAGTAATCCCTTCAACATAGAAGTTATTTAATCATGCCTTAAATCAAACTGTCTAAGCCGAGATATTTTTTTTGGCAACAATTACTACCGAGATTCAAAATGGGTAGAAATAAAAATTGCCTTCAATTAAAATGGTCTCAATAAATTCAGTCTTTATTAAACACATTGCCATAAATAATAAAATTGAAATTAATTTCTACCGAGATTAAAAACTGCTTTAAATAAAAGGTGCCTTAAATTAAAAGTGTCTAAGCAAATCATGCCTTAATTAGCAGAGTAACTATTTAAGCAAACCAAGCAAAGTAAATATGGAAAATCTTATATGAAGGAAGGTTTAAAAATCATCCATACATCAAGAGGAGGATTGTGCCTTAAATTAAAACTGTAAATATGTTATTTTATCGCTTGACATTTAGTTTGACTTTGTAAAACAAATCTGAAAATTTTCTAAAAATAAAATATAGGTAGTAGTTCATACCTAAGACATTTTTTAATTCTTAAATAATCTCAATAGTAATCCCTTCAACATAGAAGTTATTTAACCATGCCTTAATTAAAACTGTCTGAGCCGAGATATTTTTTTGGCAACAATTACTACCGAGATTCAAAATGGATAGAAATAAAATTTGCCTTAAATTAAAAATGTCTGAATAAATTCGGTCTTTATTATACACATTGCCATAAATAAAAAAATTGAAGTTAATTCCTACCGAGATTAAAAATTGCTTAAAATAAAATTTGCCTTAAATTCAAACTGTATAAGCAAATCATGCCTTAATTAGAAGAGTTAATATTTAAGCAAACCAAGCAAAGTAAATATCACAAATCTTATATGAAAGAAGGTTTAAAAAGCATGCATTTATCAAGGGGAGGATTGTGCCTTAAATTAAAACTGCAAATATGTTATCTTATTGCTTCACATTTAGTTTGACTTTCTAAAAACACTCTGAAAAACTTCTAAAAATAAAATATAGGTAGTAGTTCATACCTAAGATGTAAATTTTAATTAATAAAGTAAATGTAAATGTTATAAAAAACATGTTTAAATTAACTTGTTATAAAAATTATAAAAATTAATTGAAATAGTGCGAATATGGTATATGATATGAATAATTTGAATATATTTTTCTAATTAATCGGCTTTCAATTTTATTTATTATTATATTTTACAATATTGATACTATTGTAAGATTAAACTCTGTAAAAAATATACGTATTATATAAAATTATTTTAAGTATGGTCAAATACCTTCTCATCTTCAAGCAAAAGCTCTAGAGAACGGACTCCCTTCTCTGTGTCTTTGTAAAGAACAATCCACTTGCGAACAACACGAACCAATATTGCGTCATGGGGTTCAAGTATTCCAGTGACTTCAGCCAGTTTAAGCAATTTTGGAGCCATTTAAGATCTATAGAATGGTGTAAAACGAAAATGTTATGGAAAAAAATATAATTGAAAGAAAATATTAACACATGTAAGTGCTGCAGTAGACCGACAAAACAGAAAAACCGACCTAAATAAGTGGTATAATTCTTTGACACCAATATGATGGTATGCACTGGTAAGGGGCTATATATAACTGTTTCCTATGAATTTAGTGAAGAGTGAGTATTTCCCAAAAATCCTAGCAAATAAAATGAGGAAAATCTTTAATGAAGGAAGGTTTTAAATTCGTGCATATCTTAAGGGGAGGATTGTGTTCTGAAAAATATATATAAAGTACTACCGAGATCTTTTATTTTTGGCAACAATTACTACCGAGAATAAAAATGGGTAGAAATAAAAATTGCTTTAATTAAAAACTGTCTAAAGAAATTTGGTCTTTATTATACACATTGCCATAAATAATAAAATTCAAATTTATTCCTACCGAGATTAAAAGTTGCTTAAAATAAAAGTTGTCTTAAATTAAAACTGTCTAAGCAAATCATGCCTTATATAGCAGAGTAAGTATTTAAGCATAGCTATCAAAGTAAATATGGAAAATGTTATATTATGGAAGTTTTAAACTTGTTTAAAACTGTAAATAAATTCCGCCTCGATTAATTATACATATGGCCTTGAGCTTGGGGATTCAACCTTTTGGAACAAAAATAATGATAAAAAAAAGTAACCAAGAGCCCGTTTGGTAATTACCCAAGTCGACTGTATTGGCTGATTTTGCTAAAATTTATGAAGTTTCGAGTGAAGTGATTGTATTGGTTGATTCTGCTGATTTATGAAGAAAAAAAATCAAAATATATTTTATTATTAAAATAAAATAAAAATATTATATTAAAAACAACTAAAATGATTCTTTACAGTAACTCTAGCCAATAAAACTAGAAAAGTAATTTCAAACTTAATTTTTTATTATTACACAATTCAATGCGTGAAATAAAAAATTACGTGTTTGGTGACGAAGTTGCTCGATAAGCCGGAAAATAGGGTCACCATATGGGCCCCAAATGTAAGATTGAATAAAAGTGAAATTATTTGTTCTACCACCGGTCGTACAACACTTTTTAGCCAATCAATGTCGTGAAAGATGCATTTTAGAGGTTGAATAATCCTTAACTCCAGGACCCCACAAGTCTCAACCCGACAGAACATATGAGAGGTTGTAAATCAAAGTGAGTCATCCGGTCTTAGCGGTGATTGACCTTATTGGAGTTGATCATTTGTCTAAACTCTCTGCGTCTTCACCAGAGGCCGTTGCGGATCCACTTTTGTGAAAGATGAATTAGAAATCGCCTAAATAGGAATAAAATCGTTTGTGTATTTCAAAATAAGAATGTCTCGTTTGTCTAAATCGAAGTAATGACCGTCATGTTTTTTACAATATTAAACTTTAGACTTGACAATGTTTATCAAATTTGACACCAATTACTCATATTTAAAATAAATAAATATATAACAACACTATTTTGAAAAATTAAGTGCCTGTTTATTAAAGTGAAGAGCGGTCGATCGTCTCCCTTGAATAAGGGTTCCAGTTTTTGTCATCTTGTGTGCGGTGTTTAGATTTAGTCGTCCTTTGGAGCGACGATTAGGTTAGCAAAGAAAGAATTGTTCGCAGGAATATCGCTAGGCATGCTGTGGGGGCCGATGGAGAAGGAGTTGCGGGAGCCAAGGGAGGGAGAAAGGGAGGCGTCCAAAGGGGCTGAAATTGTGGGGCAGACGGAGGTTGCGCGTAAGGGAATCAATCGAGCGACGGGCGGGAGCTGTGCATTGTTCGTGTCAACAATCATAGCGATGGTCCGGCCTCTGCCAGAACCACCGCCAGGAGATGAACGAGGTGCTAGGGTTCAAGATAATTGTTTTGCTTATTTAGTTTTTTTCATGTTTCGTTATCCTCCTATTAGCTTTTATTATTTTATCATTTATTTTCTTATTATCGTCTATATTGTTAGGTTTGTCAGTTTGTTTGCGAATTTAGCCTCCTTTTATGTCATTGGGTATGTTTGGATCTATGGGAACGGAGATGGTTGTGTCAAGCCCGCTGCATGGTTAGCGATTCGTGTTGCTCTTTCAGGGGTGACCGTCTCTAAGTCTGATCATAGGGTTTACAGTCGTAGTTGTTGGAGTTTAGTTGATGATAGATTTGTTTTTCCTTTGACTGATGTGATGATCCTGAAACTTATGATATGAATAAAGGCAAATTTCCGTTCAAAAAAATGCCTGTTTATTAACATAGATATTTCCAGTTTTCTTTTCTGTTTTACGTTCTCATATTTTCTGTTTTCATTTTCTAGTCTTTCTATCTTTAAGTTTCTATTTTCATTTTTTATTTTTCCATTTTCATATCTAAAAACATGTTCATCAAATTTTTTCGTCATGTCCTGTGAGCGACCAGAAGACCAAAAGTAAGGCTCCAGTTCGAAATCGAACCAAGTAAACCCCAAGTACGGTCCGACCGATCACGGTCGATCTCAACGTTTAGTTTAACTAATGCTTTTCCCATTTTCGTATTGGTTGACAACTCAACGATTCTTTTAAAACTCTTCACTTAAAAACTGGTTTCAAAAAACCGAGACCAAAGTGCCGAGTCATTGACCGGCCCAGACAGATTCTATCGGGTCGTAGATGTGACCAGTCCGAGACCGCCCAGTTGTCGATCAGACCGAACATAGACTGTCGGGTCATTGGCCAGATAGGACGGGGACCGTCGGGCCATTGACCGGACAGGACGAGGGTTGTCGGGTGTTTTATTGGACAAGACGGGGACCACTGAATCGTTGACCAAACTGGATCAGATCGGGACTGTCCGACTATCGAATGTATCGAATAGGTACCGCTAGGTCGTGGATCGGACCAAACAGGGACCACTGAGTCTTGGACCGGACTTGACAGGGATCACCGGGTCG